TATATATATATATATATATATATATATATATATATATACCAGGGTCACACTGCGACAAGCAGCGATTATTTTTGTTTTTCAGTCTAAAATGACTGAATCCCACCAGAGGGTTAAGGATAAATTATGGTCGGTGTTAAGTTTAGGGGTAGGGTTAGGGTTAGGACTATGTTTTCAGACAGGAATGTTGTTCTATGTTCAATAAACGATGTTGATACAGGAACATGTCTCAACAAAAAATGTTGCAAGTTGTTGCAAATGTTGTCAAAAATATTTGACAGATGTCAAAAAAGGGCAAATAAGGAGCATCTGTAACATGTCTGTTATGATTACAACACAAAGCATGGCAAGGCTTCATCTGCGAAGAAGAACAGTGGGTGACTAAGTACAACAGAACTGCTGCAAAGTGACAGCAAACATTAATATTTGCCTTGAAGACCCTGTTTCCACAAAAACTGATCAGAGAGAACTTCACAAAATCAACATCCATGAAAGAGTTGCGACTGCTAAAACTTTAATCACAGACGCCAATGCTAAAAAAAAAAGAGTCATGATTATAAAACTTGCAGTTGGAGGACAAAGATGATCGTCAACATCTGCCCTGTCCAGGCAAATCACCTGACTTGAATATTATCAAACCACTGTGGATGGTTTTGGAGAGAAGAGTGAGAACATTTAACTCGAGACTATTTAGAAGCTGTACGAATGCAACACAGCTTACAAGATCATTAGAATAAAGTCACATGGTAGTAAAACATCCATTAAGAAATATTGCACATTTCCAAGGTGTTCACATTTTTGTATAACATCTGTACACTCTCAGAAAAAAAGGTACAAAAGCTGTCACCTTTTCAAAAGGTATTCCTTTGAACCTAAAGTTTCCATATTGGTACCTGAAAGGTACAAAAGTGTGTGTGTGTGTGTGTATTCAGAAGCAAAACCAGTCCATCTGAGATTTTTTTAAATTATTTTTTTATATTTTAATTTATTTTATGTTATTGCAAGATAATACTGTATATGCAGGTTTTCTTCAATTTCATACGAAATGGCCACTCGTCGTGAGAGTCATCTGTGGTCATGATTGCTTGCACCATCTGCACTCATTCGCTTTAGCCCTTAGCTCCATTTGATTGGAAGAAAATCCCTGGAAATCCAGCCTCTAACTGAAATGACAGAGACATGTTTGTCCTCCTTACCCTGCAAAATGTGTCAACACAAACAAACAGATGGCAAGATAAGGCAAAGCCATATTGTTTTCCCCAATCCCCCCCTCCTCCTTGAACGTTCCTTCTAGAAAAGGTTTCCCTCCCCTATATACAGCTGATGTTTGTATGTGTTTATATGTGATCCAGCCCAAATCCATTTGTCATAATTATATTTAAATGCAATCAAAAATCATATTTCATCTCGGCTTCCCATTGTGATCTTCTACTGGGGTCAGTCTGAGGTAGAAAGCAGCAGCCGTGTAATCAACACAGCCGTATAAATACACAGTGCTTGCAAGATCCTCTCAGCTAACACTAATGCTACTCCTCCCTCCACCTGATCTGATTATTGGCTGTTTCTAAAGAGCAGATAAACACCATTGATTTAGCTGGTGTAACTGTGCCGTATTGCCCATCAGCACACTTGGTAAAGGAAGCGCCGCTAATCGAAAGACGAGCGCTTGCTTTTTTTTTTTTCTGTGGTTATCGCGATAACAGGTGTGAGGGACAGGGCATCGTGATGGATGTAGGCAGTTGAGCTTTCTAATATCTCTATTCATGCTAAGCAATGCAGTCAATTAAGCCACAATCACTTGGTCTGAATAATGGAGAATGGGACAAGCAGAATCTCTCTCACACTCCCCCTTCATCAGGCTCATAATCGGGACAAATGAAGGCCAATGTCTGTATGAAGTATGCAGTGAATATGTCTTTCTGTTGGGCTGGCATTTCTGGAGATGCTTAATGATTCAAATGACTAATGTGTCATCCTTACACTGCTGAGGTGTGGATTTTTCTATTGGCCTCTGAATGTCTTTACCTGATGAGCTGCCGTAAAACACTGATAGTGCTGTTGATGTGATGATAAGACACAACAAAGGCAAAGCAGCATATGGATGGGATGGAGGGAATTCAGAACAGGTCAGCGATTTGAGGTTTTTGCCAAGTGCGTGAATTCAGAGGTCAGCTTTTTAAAAGGACTTTTTATAGTTCGTTTTAAGTTGTGGCTCATCAGTCCAAATTGTGTCACCACTAACATAGCTAACCAAAACAATCACCTATTTTAAAGACAAAATTACTTCTTTTGTTAATTAATGTTTCAATTTTAAAATCTTACGTCAACAAAACAAAGTGAGTTATTATTATTATTGTGATTCTATGGAAAGTGTTTTGTAACATAGCTCAATAGTTTTTACAAAATGTATAAATATACACTTGCACCTAACTTATCTAACCTTTGTTAGATACTAAAATTCAGTATCAAATGACTGTTGAACACACAGATAGATAGATAGATAGATAGATAGATAGATAGATAGATAGATAGATAGATAGAT